ACGTAAGAGCCGGGAGGAAGAATGGGGGAAGGCGGCAGCGTGGGAAGGCTTTGACAACCGCGACACTTCTTGCGCGAGGCCAGCTCTGACGGAACTCGCCGTCTCGCGACCGCCCAACTTCCCCCTTGCTTCGCGTCCGCATGCATACCTTCACCCAACCACCCTCCCCCCCATCCCCTCTCCCCCAGTTCAGGTCACAACACCTCCCAAACACGCTGCCACAATGTAGCATTCAGATCCCTCAACCTCCCGCCATCACATTGACCGGTCAACCCCTCTGCCTCCCTCAAATAACAAACTTCCCCCAGACCTACTTTGCGTCAGAGGCGGTGTCATACGCCAGCAACCCCGCCAACTGGGCCCCCCTCGCCGGCTGGGCCCGCACAGCGCGGAAGATATTCATCCCCTCAGTGGGGCCAGGGTGAGCCGCCGCCGGGGACGTGAACCCTGAACCAGGCATAAAATCATAAATCAGGCCCGTTCCCGCTGGCGGCGCCTTCATTTTCATCCCCCGGGGCCCCAGCAATGCGCGTGCGCCCCAGGGGGACCTGTGACAGGCGCGCCTGTCTCGTCGGTGCGTGGCGCTTACCATCAGTGCTTGCGCCATGAGTTCGCTTGTGCCATGAATGTTGTGCTGTACATTTCCTGCCATCAACTTCTCACCGTGCAATTCTCACCGCGCCCAGCTACGACGACCGCCGCATCCGGCCCTGGAACGCCGCGTCCACCAAGGATCGCGACGGCGGCGCCAGGTGAGCACCCTCCGTCACCACCTTGTCCCGCCCCCCTCTTGCCGCGTGCCGCCCTCATCCAGCCTTTGCCTTCTGCAGCTCTGAGGGGCTAGCAGAAACAAGCTCGTCTCACTAACCGAGCCGGATCGCGCGCGGGCTCGAGCCAACGCACCTTGATATCTTGGAGCACCCCCAAAACTGCCCCGCCCTCCACCCGCCCTCCGGCTCACCCGGCGCCCCTCTCGCGCCCCGCATCCTCCCTGGGGGCCCTCAGGCGCGGCCCAGGGCCCGCCCTTGCGGAGATGTCCCCCCCCTCCCCTTTTTGAGTCCCTGCAAACTTTCCCGTCCCAACCTCGTACTCCTAGGTACGCCGCGATCTGGCAGGCCGCCCGAGACTCGCAGCCGGACGCCGTCTCCCTCGTCAGCTTCAATGGTGCGCCCCCCCCCCCCTCCCGCGTCGCGGCAGCCGGACAGACACAGGGGCGGGCTGGCACGAAGGCGGGGGCAAGTCGGGAGAAGATTTGTTGCATGAGCACGAGTTTTTAAGGGGGTGCCAAGGGCGGGTTGGCAGCGGCGCCGCGCACCCACCTGTCTTGCCATCAGCGCCCGGCCCCGGGTGTCGACCGGGGCTGCACTACCTTTCGCGTCGCTCATCACGTCCGCAGCGCCAGCACGCGCGCAAAGCGCACGCTCCCACGAGCACGCGCTCGCGCCCAAAATCCGCCAACGCCTGCCACTCACACGCGCGCGTGCACGCCGCTCACCGCTCCCACTCCATACACGCGGCCTAAATCCAGAGTGGGGCGAGGGAACGCAGATAGAGCCTGCAAAGCCCTGGGTGGACCCCTCCTCAAGGGAGGTGTGGGAAGATTATGGGCCGGGGGGGCCCCATTTATACATGAACATCACGGGCGGCGCGGCGGGCGCGTTCCGGCGGGCACTGGCCGACCGGCAGGCGAGGGGGCAGCAGGAGGGGCGTGCGCGCGGCGCGGCGTCATCCGCGGCGGCAGCGGCGGCTGGCGGGGGTGGTCGACTGTCGGGCGGCGGCGCTGGTGGCGCAGGCGGGGGTGCCGTGGGCGGGGGCACAGGGGAGGACGAACTGGAGGAGCTGTGATGTTGCCGCTGCAGTTGGATGGGGATCAACAACCATGATGGCGAACCATGTCATCGGGGGTTGTCGGGCTTGGCTTTGTATATGATACTTTGGCTCTGCCTGTCTCTCAACAAACCCATGCAAACCCCAAACAAAGCCCAGCCTGCAGCGCACTCCGCTCGCCATTTCGAATCCACGCACCACTTTTTGTAAACACAGCAAATGCACGTGGCACGCCGCGCCGACAGTGTCCCCATGCCGTGTTATTCGCGCCCGGGATGACGGCAATGCGCTGGGGTGCAAGCTGCCGCCTTTCAACAACGCGTCAGCTCAGACGAGCTGCTGGGAGCCCGGAAGCGCCGAAAACCATACTCAAGATTGGAGATAAAGCTCCAGCAGAGGTAAGCCTCCTGCTGGAGCCGGGGAGGCGCAACGAGCCTGTGGCTGGGATTGCACGGTATTACACCTGTCACAGCACCTGATGAGGGGCATCAGGCAGGTGCTCTCAAAGTTTGGTTAGCAAACTGACGAACATGCGGCCATGGGCCTTTGAACTTGCAAAACGTGCATGATAAAAAGATTTCCTGAACACACAAACCCTAAACCTGCCATAGTCGAGGACAACCTTGCAAACACCGAACACGTGGAGTGGTGGCCGTGGTCATCCCGCACTTCGCAACCACTTGGTGACTGGCTACTGTGACCTAGACAGAAACGTATATGGTGTATCATGACGTGTTCAATAATACTTCGAGAATCAGCGCCACGTGCATACTCTCAACCCCCACCCGGCGCGCCCAAAGAGACATAAAGAGTTTCGCGCTGCGATCGGCGCTGTAGACACGGCGTCCAGCCGACTATTATTTTGTAGCACTCAACGTTTCGTGTCATGCCTTTGTACACTCTGTATCTCAACTCCCAGCCGTTTGATCCAGCAATCAACAAGCACGCAAACAATAACAAGTGTACAGAAGAAACAGCATGCACACATACTTTCGACCTGCAGTGCCCTCGCCAGCTCTGGACCGCACCGCACACCCCGCCGTCGCCCCAAGTGCGCCCGCGCTACGCCCCCGCCCGGCCCACGCGCTCGCCGCAACGCCGCTGCAGCAACATGGCATGGGAGTGGCGCCCGACGCAGCTGGCCGCGAGCGCGGGCGGATTGTCAGCACAGATATCACGTGGCACGAGGGCGGGGTGGCGCGGGAGCAAAAGGAGGCGCTTTTGGGCCAACGCGGCTGCGTGCTTTGGTTCACTGGGTGAGTGCTGCACGCTTCCTGCAAAAAAGCCCCGACCCTCGCCCGCGCCCGCGCCGCAATCCCCTGACACCCCTTCGTCACACCTCATCGCGCCGCCGATCCGCCCCAGCTGCGCGCGGACGCCCCGCCGCCGTAGGGAGAGTTTTTTTTGCGGCGCGCCGCCCGCAGATTTGGTCCGCCCCTGACCCCACCCCCGTCGCCCTCCCTCCGCCGCGCGGCGCCGGACTGACGGCGGCCGTAAGGCACCGCCCACTGAAACTCCCCCTGCCGCCCGCGTCGATACAACGCCATCCCAAACACCAACTGATGTAAACCAACTCCCAAATGGCCCCTCACCCCCCCCCTCTTCCCCCAGCCTGAGTGGCAGCGGCAAGTCCACGGTGGCGGCCACCCTTGAGCACGCCCTCCACAAACTCGGACGCGCGACGGCCCTCTTGGACGGCGACAACGTGCGCCACGGCCTCAACCGCGACCTCGGGTTCTCCGCTGCTGACAGGGAGGAGAACATCCGGCGGATAGGGGAGGTGGCGCGGCTGTTTGCAGAGTCGGGGGTCATCGTGTTGGTGTCCTTCATATCCCCTTACAGGTGGGTGTGTGGTTTGGCACTGGAGCCGTCAAGTCAGAGTGGGTCAACCAAAATCAAGCTCCTCAGAATGCACTTGTCTTCTGATCCATGCAATTCATGCGGTTTCTTACAGTGAATGTTTTGAATGATGATTACAAGAACATGAATCTCGTGTTGTGCGTGGGTTCTCTCGACAGAGTCCCGGCTGCGGGTCGGCTCGCCGCTGCCGCGCGAGGCCGCAAATGCGGATGGGCACTCGTGGGGGCGCGCCGGCGGTCCGGGTGGGAGGTGGCGGTCTGCTGTCTGTTTGCAGTGCGTTCGGCTTGCATGCTGGCTCGGCAATGGTGTGTGTGTGTGTGTGTGTGTGTGTGTGTGTGTGTGTGTGTGTGTGTGTGTGTGTGTGTGTGTGTGAGGTGTGAAGAACAAACTCCGAGGTCTCTCAAGCCCTGTGAATGCACACACACACACACACACATGTACACGCTCACACACACATGCACAATCACACACTCTCTCAAGCACACACACCACGCCCCCCCCCAAAAAAAAACACCGCAGGCAGGACCGCGACCGCGCGCGCGCCCTGCTGCCCCCCGGCCGCTTCATCGAGGTGTTCATGGACACCCCCCTTGAGGTGTGCGAGCAGAGGGACCCCAAGGGGCTCTACAAGAAGGCCCGCGCCGGGCAGATCAAGGGCTTCACGGGTGAGGCTGCGGCACGCATGAACCACGGACCGGCGTGCAGCGCGCGCGCGCGCTGCATGCAGGTGCATTTGCCCCATGCAGACGGTTGCGCCTGGCAAGGCTGCGACGGATTCGCAGCCCGTGTTTTTAGGGTTGGTCTCGTAGCAGGGGAAGGGAACAGGGGGTGGGCCTTAGAAGGTGTGATGGGGCGCCCGTTGCTGACCGCACGCGCCCGATCGGCCGGGCCTCGCGCGGTCTGCGCGCCGCGCCGCCCTTGCAGTGTGGCGAGGCGTGCTGGTTGGCCGCCGGGCCCTTCCTGCGACTGCCGGCCTCGTGCATCGTATCGTGCCCCCCCTCCAAACGCCACTCCATTCCTGCAGCTCCCCCGCGGTCTGTGCTCGCGCCCCCTCAGCAACCAGACACATACACACACACACACACACACACACACACACACACACACACACACGCACGCAAGCAAGAGGGAGACAGCGCCCCACCAAGCCGCGCAAGTTGAAAGAAGCGTCGCCCCTAGGCATATGCGGCCCCCACGAGGCACCTCACCCAATCTTTATCCCACCCCATCATGACCCCCATGTGGGGTCGGGGTGCACCCCCACCCTGCACTCGCCCCCAACCCACTCAC